CTACTCGCAATCAGTTGTTTTCACGGCTACTCACAATCAGTTGTTTTCACGGCTACTCACAATCAGTTGTTTTCACAGCTACTCAAAATCAGTTGTTTTCACAGCTACTCACAATCAGTTGTTTTCACCCAAGATCAATCTGCTAAAATCAGTAAATACAATAGATCTTTTTAAGATCTGAAACAGTTTTTGTAAAACTTATATTTTTCGAGATATTTCACCGGTCCGATACTTTTGCCCCACCCTGTATATATATATATACATATATATTGCGGAACTAAATATTTATTACATATATATATATATGTAAAAATCGATTTTTATTTATTTCGTGAATAAATATCAATGTATCACTTATAACATACGTCTTACTACTGCGGATGACCATATTTCATTACTTTGACCTTTTATATCTTGGGAAATATTGACTTTTGGGACTTGGTGCAATGATAACTTTTTATCAACATGGCGAAAACTATAACATAGTGAAATTTCAGCCAATTTGACCGAAAACCATTTTCCATAGGTTTTGTGCGAAGTCCTTTATTATAAAAATATTATTCCTAACTATAATCTTTTTACTATGCCATTATAGTTCCAAGTGTAATACATTTTCCCTCAGTGTAGGGCTAAATAAATTCTCTCTCTCTCTCTCTCTCGTTCACTCTCTCTCTTTCTTTCTCTTCTTCTCTATCTCTCGGGACGTTCGCTTCCTCGATTTACCGAAAGCTCTCGTATCTAGTTGCGGAGTCGCGATCCGGGTAAGCGATCCGGTAGGCAGCTGGTCAAGCGCAAAGGCACCCCACCGTGAGCGAACGTAACCGCGGCAATCGGGGCACAGCCAACGGCAGGCAACAACACCACGATCTCTCCCCGCGTGGACGAACGATACGCGGTCGTTCCTTTTCAATATGGTGACACGCGTGTCCATGTCGGTGTTGTGTCGTGTCGTCGAGGAGGTGCTGGTACACGCACCGCGTGTAAACGCGTGTTCTCGCCTCGGCACCTCTCACGCCGCTTGTATGCGCGATCATCCGAGCCGTGTATCCGTCACACAAGCACACATACACACACGCGCGCGCATATGCACACCTCGCAACGCATTCCCCCGAATCAGGGGTGCCACAAGGGAGGGAACGGCTCGTCGACGGGAAGTATAATGGCCGTGCGAGTAACCAGTCGCAGCCGAATCTCCCGGTCATTATGTTACCGGTCTCGTTACGGTAAACCTCTCGGATGTTAACGTCGCGTCGCAGACCCCCGCCGTCATTGGCGAAATGAGCCGCGAACGAGGGAGACTCGCACCCTCCCCGGCAAAGCGGCCTTCGAAACGACGCTTTCGATTTTTCGATGTTGTCGTTAACACCTGTGCACTGTGAGAGAAAAATGGCTGATCTTAGTAAAATTATAGTTATTTCTAATGCTAAGCATATATTTTTTTAGTTATTCTAACATGAGAATGATGGTGGTAACATGTAAGGTTATTATCGTTAACATTACAGTAGAATTTAATTAAAGAAGAAGTTTTCTTGATCATAATCTATAGTAATTATTTTTCTGTGTGATTATAGTTACAAATATCAAACAGTTCTTTCTCAGTGAACTCTGTTACATCTTTCAAGAGAATTGTTTGTTTGTTTATGGATCGAAGTTGATAGTTTATTAACGAAACTCTACTTGGAAAGTCGAGTGATTTTCAAGCTGAAGTAGGATGATTTTTCACTCGTATACAAAGTGTTCCAGCTCGATCTCACCATCTCTCGGGCGTAGATTGGATTGAGGTGAACACAAAAGTTCCATACAGTTTTGCGATATTCGCAATAACTATCGAGATATTAAAGAATATTTGTAAATGATGACGCTCGGTATGGTGGATGAGCTTATTTTTATGTAATTCTTTTAGTGTTCTTATGAGATTCCTAAAATGCAGTAAAAACCGCTCATGTATCTATTCATATTCAGTTCGGTTCAAAAGATTTGTCAAATAAAATGAAAAATCAAATTAATTTCATAGGATTAATCATTCTTATACTAAGAGAAATTACTCGATGAAAAATTAAAAAACAGATATTTCCGATCAAAATATTAATGAATTTGTATATCCGATCAGGAAACATCCGTTGAGAAATATCGATTCAATTTCTTGATCTGTTTATCTGATAAAATCTGCCATTATGATCGGAAGTATCCGATTAAATTTAATCGGATACGCTGATGGGATATAAAAATTGGTCATAATTTGATCGAAAATATTCGTCTGTTAATTTTTTATGGAATAATTTCTTTCAGTGTATGAATAACATGTAATCAATATCGACTATTCCTTTACACGGAAAAAAATAATTTGCTGTAGCAGCATACTAATTTGCTACATATGGACAGTTAAATATAATTCGCTGTGTTAGCTACTTTTTCTTTGCTACAGGAATCTATTTTCTTGCTGTGATAACAAGAAAATCTGCTCCTATAGCAAGAAATGTGGCTAACGTAGCAAATTTGCTATAGATGGACAAGTAAACATAATTTACTGCTTTAGTTTCTACTTTTTTCTAATATTTTTAGTATTTACTTTTTTACTTTTTAATATTTACTTTTTTTAGTATTTACTTTTTTGTTGCAGGAGCAATTTTCTTGTTATGATAACAAGAAAATCTGCTCCTATAGCAAGAAAAGTAGCTAACGTAGCAAATTTGCTACAGATGGACAACTAAACATAATTTACTGCTTTAGTTTTTACTTTTTTTAGTATTTTTAATATTTACTTTTTTACTTTTTAGTATTTACTTTTTTTTAGTGTTTTTAGTATTTAGCAGATTTTCTTGTTATCATAGCAAGGAAATTGGTTGCTGCAACAAAGAAAAAGTGGCTAATAATGTTTAGTTGTCCATATGTAGTAGATCTTTTTTTCCGTGTACGAGGAGAAAAATAATTTTGCTTTTTTAGCAAAATTGTCGTTGCTACTGCATATTCGTAGTGACGTCAAAAAAATTTAGTTGATGTAACTAATTTTATAAATTATTCGTTATCAGAGCAGAAGTAGTTTCGTTGTTAGGATAGAATAAATTTGTTGAATGTATTTATCCTAAGAATCACGTTAATGTGCTATTGATGCAAAATAATGTATCTTTAACAAATTTATTTGCTATCGGAGCAAAACTGCAACTGCTTATATAAATCCATCATGATTCTTATATGCAAAATAATTTGTAGATTCAGCAAATTATATGCAGCAAATAGTGATTAGTACTCTTAGCAAATCTCTTTGCTGTCCATACAATAATGAAAAGATTTTGCCAGACCAGCAGGAAATTTGCTGCACCAGCAAATTATTTTTCTCCGTGTATATGCAAAAAAATGATTTAGTAATATCAGCTAAATCGCGATAGCTGATTCAAACTTAGTCAAACGGCTAATCGTTTAGCTGTCGCTAAGAATTGGCTATGACAGCTAAGATGCATTCGCTATGAAATACACATATAGGTGACATTAAAAATGTACATTATTTCAAGAAAATAGCAGTTATTCCTAAATTTCTTATCGTACGTATATATTAAAGAAGTTTGCCGTATAGCTACAATCATTTGTTACAGTCATTTATTTCTAGCAGCTAATATTTCTCGCTGTAGCGCCTAAGTTTAACAAATTTAGGCGAATAAATTTAGCTTCGATAGTATCGACATTAGCTGTCCCTATTTCAGTGGCATATCTTATCTGCCACAGCTATTTTTTAGCTAGCGGAAGCTAGTTCTTTTTTTGCGTGTAGGCACGCAACGAAGACTGATTGCCTTTCAGCTTCCCACGAGAATTTAATAGGAAAATAACCGAGATGCTTCGTGCCAATCCAATATACTACTGTGTCCAAAAAGTAAAACCAATTAAAAATTTTTTTTTTAAATCTTTATTTATTATTCCAAATCTATTTCGTCGCCTTCAAAGTAATCCCCCTCAGACACAATACACTTATGCCAACGTCTTTTCCAATCCTCGAAACAGTTATTAAAGTCGATTTCCGGAATGGCTTTCAAAGTTTTCTTCGATTCAGCTTGTATCTCTTCAATCGAGTCAAAACGGTGTCCCCGGAGCGGTCTTTTGAGTTTAGGGAATAGCCAGAAGTCACACGGTGCTAAATCAGGTGAATATGGTGGTTGTGGAACGATATGGGTCGAATTTTTAGCGAAATGGTCTCGAAGAACTAATGCAGTGTGAGATGGTGGGTTTATATCTATCACTGCAGTGTGGGTTTATATGCATCACGTAATACGGTTTCCAACCGTAGGGTTGGAAAAAACGTTGGCATAAGTGCATTGTGTCTGAGGGGGATTACTTTGAAGGCGACGAAATAGATTTACACTGAGAGAAAAATGTATGATATTTGGAACTATAATGGCATAGTAAAAAGATTATAGTTAGGAATATAATTTTTATAGTAAATATTACCATAATATTTGCAATATTTACAATATAAGCATAGTATAACTGACCCGTGTAAAATTTTTACCAAGAATTATATAATTATTTGAAATAAAAAATATAGTAAGGTAGCAAATATTGAATGGTAAGAGAAATTAACTATTTTATATAGTCAATACAATTGGAATATTTGGCAAATATACATGTACATGTAACTATATTCCCAAAAGGTGCTTTACCATATATATAGAGTAATAAGATGGTGACTATAAATCTGTGTTCATTCTACTATATCTTCATGTTTAGATGAACTATAAATATATGTTTGAGGCCAAAACGAACTATAAAATATAGTGAGATTATAGTTATTCCAACTATTTTTTTCTCTCTTCTTTTTTCTCTAGTGAGATTATAGTTATTCCAACTATTTTTTTCTTCTCTTCTGGAATAATAAATAAAGATTAAAAAAAAAAATTTTAAATTGGTCTTACTTTTTGGACACAGTAGTATCTGTCTATCTATCGATCCACCTAACGATCCACCGTGTATCTCCGTTTACGAATATCTGGAACTGTTGTTTGTTTACGCAGACGGAAGTCGAGGACACGAGCGGCGACGGAGCGTGCGACGGCGCCGGCGGTCCCAATCTCGCCTGTCCCGAAAGCACCAGCGGCCTGGTCGTCGGCCCGGAAACGTCACCCAGTGTAATGGAGTGCGGTGGTTGCGGAGAGCGCGTACGCGAGCGAATCGTGCTGTGCGTGGGCGGACGTACGTGGCACTCCAGGTGCCTGAGGTGTTGCGCCTGTGCCAGGCCGTTGCACGATCAGCACTCCTGCTTCCTGAAAGGCATGCGGCTCTACTGCAGGCACGATTACGTCCTGTAAGTCGACTATCGATTGACACTTTTGTACAAAATAACGCCCGCCTTACTCCGCGACGATCTCTTCGAGCGAGATCGATAAGTCGCGCGCGACAACAGAACAAGACACGGAGAGAACACGTCATTGTCTCTTCTTATATAAATTCCTTCCAGTGTCGTTATGTTTTTTTAGTGGGGCGCGAATGGACTGTCAGTAAGATTCATTTTGCTAAAGAACGTGGTGAATTTCGCTGAGGATATAAATCTTTTAATAGTACGTTTTTTTCCTACACTGAGAAAAAATGTTTGGTACTTGTAACTATAATCACATATAGAGAAATGATTACTGTAAATTATGGTAAAGGAAACTATTTGTTAAATTAAATTCTATTATAATATATTATTATAATTAAATTCTACCATGATAGCCTTGTCTGCACATTACTACTATCATTTTTGTGTTAGAATAATACAAAAGATATAGTTAGGATAAAAAATAGCTATAATTTTAGTTGGATCAACCATTGTTTTCTCTCAGTGTAAAATATAAGCAGCGCGTATACGATGAGAGAATAGTCAGTTATAACCGACTGTCGATCTGTGTCTCGATCACAAAGTTCTGCAGTAATTTTCACTATAAAATTCTCTCTGTGGAGAAAAAGGGGAGAAAGCGGGGGAGACCGGGAGAAAGAGAGAAGAGACAGTGAGAGACAGAGAGAGTGTGAGATGGAGGCGGAGGAAGGAGGGGAGGAAGAGGAGGGAGCAGAGCAGAAAGAAAATACAGTCTTTTCTTTTTGTTCGCATTATCGAATGAATAAGTAGAATATTTTTGTTGCGCGCGATGCGCATCGATAGCGATGTAAGACGTACGGTCGTAGAGATCAAAGTCGAAGGAACCCGCGGTGACTCGTCGAATGTACGGAAGGCTCCAAGCGAAGTCTGCCCAATGTGTTTATCCAACTGTCAATCAGTTACCTCAGTCACCTGGGTTTTACGCCAACCAAACCTGAATCAGGCGTCGTGATATCCGATCGCTACACGACGCTACGCGTCTGGCGATAGCGAGCATCACAGAAGGTGTGATGTTCTAGACTCTTACATATTATTGCAATTGCGACGCAGGTATATTCCGGCGAGTTGCTGGCGAGAAAGTGCACAGACTTCCCGTAAGGATGTGTAAGTCTTCTTGCAGATACGCTGAGAGAAGTTATCCGATAGAAAATTAACGAACGGATATTTCCGATCAAAATACCGATGAACTTTTATATCCGACCGGGATATTCGATTAAATTTAATCGAATATCTCCGATCGTAACGGCACTTCATCAGATAAGCCGATCAAAACATTATAAATCGATATTTCTCTCATTGTATACAACAATTCATCCGGAATTTGGCCAGAAATATCCTTTTGTTGATTTCTTATCGAATAATTTCTCTCAGTGTATTTCTTTCTCTCTCTTGGATTTTGTCGTTGTCGCAACACTGGACAGAATATATTCCAGGTGAGAAAGAAGAGAAATTGATACGGTTGTTATTAATTAGAATATTAATCTAATTAGAGTTTTGGACTAATAAATTCCCGAGAAAGTCGATCAAAATACCGATCAACTTTTATATCTGGTCAGGATATCCGATTAAATTTAATCGAATATCTCCGATCGTAACGGCACTTCATCAGATAAGCCGATCAAAACATTATAAATCGATATTTCTCTCATTGTATACAACAATTCATCCGGAATTTGGCCAGAAATATCCTTTTGTTGATTTCTTATCGAATAATTTCTCTCAGTGTATTTCTTTCTCTCTCTTGGATTTTGTCGTTGTCGCAACACTGGACAGAATATATTCCAGGTGAGAAAGAAGAGAAATTGATACGGTTGTTATTAATTAGAATATTAATCTAATTAGAGTTTTGGACTAATAAATTCCCGAGAAAGTCGATCAAAATACCGATCAACTTTTATATCTGGTCAGGATATCCGATTAAATTTAATCGAATATCTCCGATCGTAACGGCACTTCATCAGATAAGCCGATCAAAACATTATAAATCGATATTTCTCTCATTGTATACAACAATTCATCCGGAATTTGGCCAGAAATATCCTTTTGTTGATTTCTTATCGAATAATTTCTCTCAGTGTATTTCTTTCTCTCTCTTGGATTTTGTCGTTGTCGCAACACTGGACAGAATATATTCCAGGTGAGAAAGAAGAGAAATTGATACGGTTGTTATTAATTAGAATATTAATCTAATTAGAGTTTTGGACTAATAAATTCCCGAGAAAGTCGATCAAAATACCGATCAACTTTTATATCTGGTCAGGATATCCGATTAAATTTAATCGAATATCTCCGATCGTAACGGCACTTCATTAGATAAGCCGATCAAAAAATTATAAACCGATATTTCTCTCATCGGATACAACAATTCATCGATATTTGGATCAGAAATATTCTTTTATTTATTTTTTATTAAATATATATATATATATATATATATATATATATATATATATATAAATATCTCTCAGTGTACTTCTTTCTCTCTCTTGGATTTTGTCGTTGTCGCAACACCGAACAGAATATATTCCAGGTGAGAAAGAAGAGAAATTGATACGGTTGTTATTAATTAGAATATTAATCTAATCACAGTTTTAATTAATTAACTAGAATATTAATCTAATCACATTAATAAATTCCCGAAAAGGTCGATGCAGTTATGAGGATTAGCATGAGAACTCGATCAAGTTATCAACTCGTTATATTATTATTCTCTAGAGATTATTGGACTAGTTATCGGTTCTCTAGAGATATTATTGGACCAGTTATCGGTTCGTTACAATCTTGTATGTGTGTTCTGCCTGAGTCGCAAATCGCGGTCTTATCTCATTTAGTTTGCTCAATTAAGGGGAAATTCTGGCTTAGATGCCCAAAAAAGGGAGCCTTTGCTAACTTTTCTTAAAGAAATGATTACAAATATTAATTTATGTATAGGGTATGGACTAAACTATTTATCATTGTTTTAAGACAGAATTATTAAAACAAATTAAAATTCCGCCCAGTTCTTTTTGTGCTGAACGCCGTCGGACACTTTTAACTGACTGATAACTCGTACAATAATTTGAAACAAATGGGACGAAAAAATTTAAAAACCGCATTAGATTAGCTGGAGGATGAACGTAAATCCTTTGGAAAATTTCTAAAATTAGTTTTTCCGGAGCACTACATAAACAAGAAAGAAAGAGGGAAAAAGAGAACTTGTTTTAAAGTGCCGTCATGTTGTGAAATTTCGATTTTCTGCATATGATAAAGGTTCCTGCAGCAAATTTAATATTTAGGATAATTTAAAATTATCCTAAATTATCCTATTTCCTTCAGATATTGCGTGAATCGTAACGTTGTCCGCCAGTTAGAGATATTCGACGACACCACACGAAAAACTTGAATGGAATTTAAATTTTTCATACTTTATACTTTCTAAATTTAAATTAAATTTATATTATATTAATTAAAATTAAATTTATATTTATTAAATAATTTTCTTATGAAAACAATAATACTATCCTATTAAATTTTAGTAAAATTTAATTAAGTTTTCTCATTAAAACAACAATGAATAACATGATCAAAATTCTATGTTAATATTTTTAACCATTTTTTAATTGTCTGAAGAAGATATCATTATAATAATCATGAAAATAATCATTGTATAAATATCATGAAAATAACTATATTTCTTACAAGGCTATTATGATATTTAAAGTCATAACATTGTTGAAATTCTTTGTTAAAAGAACTTTAAAGTTGTTTCTAACAAAATTATATATTGTTGCCTATATATGAAACAATAATTGCTAACTTCAGTATATTAGTTTTGAGCGGGTACTAGTTTTTTTCTGTGTATGAAAATCTATTTTTTCTCGTCTATCTGAAGCAGAACCTCCTCTTAAACAAGACACTTATTATCGTTAGCTGCAAGCGCCGAGTTACTTTTTAATGTCGGTTGGACGCACTCGGGAACAGTGTGCGGGAGGTCCGAAGGAATCCGCCGCGTAATTTTTTTGATTCGTGCTTTCTGCCTGGTAATGCTGCCATACGATGACCCGGTCGTCGGCGGGATCCATGACCCGCGGGGACCCGTACACCAGTCGACAATCGCCGACATCGAGCCCTAAGAAGGAGAGAAAGAGAGAACCGGAACCGTCTTGTCTCTCCTCTCTCGTGAGTCTCGCGCAAGTGGACGGACGAAGCGTAAAAAGGGCGAAAAATAAGACCGACATTTGCAGGGGCTGAGTATCGAATGTAACATTGCTTCCGTCTCTCTCTCTCTCTCTCTCTC